GTCAGGTCATCAAAGCTCACAGCAACCTCAAACTCTTGGTCTCAAGCAATCTTCCTGCCTCCTGAGAAGTCAGGGCTACAGGCATGCACCACACACCCAAGTTTTTCTATTTTTAGTAGAGACTGGATCTCGCTCTTGCTCAGGCTGGTCTCCAACTCTTGAGCTCAAGCAATCCACCTACCTCAGCCTCCCAGAGAGCTAGGATTACAGGTACAAGCCACAACCACATACTGCACCCGCTTCCTTTCATAATGTAACATTCTTCCCCTTTTTGTTCCTATTCGCTCCTGGGCTCACAGAATGCCAGACAGCACCAAAAACACTGATTGAAAGGTTTTCTGTGTGTGTTGCCCAGGCTAGTGTATCTAGTGGCCTCACTATGGTTAACTGTAATCTTGAACTCCTGGGCTCAAATGATCCTCCTGCCTCACCCTCCCAAGTTGCTGGGACTACAAGCCAACAGCTAGGATTACAGGCAGAAGCCACCACATCCAACCTTTTTTGCTGGTTTAATTGAAGACAACTGGTAAGAATACTAACCCAAGTATTAAAAGATCTGATTTCTGGCTTGGCACCCAGCCAGCAGCTCAATGGTTAGGGCACCAGCCACATACAACAGAGCTGGCAGGTTCGAACCCGGCCCAAGCCTGCGAAACAACGACAACTATAACAAAAAAATAGCTGGGCACTGTGGCGGGCGCCTACAGTCCCAGCTACTTGGGAGGCTGAGTTAAAAGGATGACTTGAACCCAAGAGTTTTGAGGTTGCTGGGAGCTAAGACGGCACGGCATGCTATCATGGACAACAAAGTGAGACTGTCTGAAAAAAAAAAAAATCTTATTTCTATATCTCATCCTAGCAGCCAAGTCAAAATCACTTTCTACAAGTGATTTCTTCTCTCAGATTTTCGTGCTATTGCATGATTACTAAGATCCTATTTGGTGGGCTGCTCCTGTGGCTCAGTGAGTAATGCGCCGGCCCCATATACCCACGGTGGTGGGTTCAAACCCGGCCCCAGCCAAAATGCAACAAAAAAGTAGCTGTGCACTGTGGTGGGCGCCTATGGTCCCAACTACTCAGGAGGCTGAGGCAAGAGAATCACCTAAGTCCAAGAGCTGGAGGTTGCTGTGAGCTGTGACACCACAGCACTCTACCCAGGGTGATAAAGTGAGACTCTGTCTCTTTAAAAAAAGAAAAATTCTATTTGTTAAGATATTCTTAAACACAAAAGAAAGCAAGTTTATGCTTTTTCATTCTGAATAAGAACTGAAATAACATAATGAAAAGACATGCCACTTTAAGACACACATTCAAAAACACATCCTGCACACTACTGTTTAACCAAGAGGGCAACAGCAAAATAAGTTTGTGCCAGGGCAGTTGGTACAGGAACAGCACATACAAGCCAAAGCCTGTGATGTAGAAGCCATGTGACAAGCATGCTCTCCTTCCATTAACAATGAAGGAAATACACTTGGGACAGATACACGTAAACTGTGTTCCTTTGGAAACTACCCAAAATTAATCTCAGTAGAATAAACAAAATCCAAGAGATTCCAAGCTAGCTAGTATAACCTCAGCAGTGCTTACTTTAAAGCAAATGGAGTACTTAAGTACCAAGCAAATAAGTCAACTTATACTCAGAACACTTTATTCAATAAAATACAAACATAACAAACTGTCAGAACAAAGACCTAATGAATTACCGTAGAACCAAGATGTAGTTGTTGAACAGCGTATTATATGCCTCCCTATCATGGTAACAAATGTTTAAAAGAAGTAAAAAGATTTTCAAGATGGACATCTTGATCAAATCTTAAGTACACAAAAAACTAAATTCAAGCATGAACTGTACAATGAAACATTAAATAAGGTCCTTTACTATGTAACAACTCTAAAGAGGGGGAGTGTCAAAAGGCAGCTTGAACGTGTTCAGACTAGGCTTACACTAAGCTTCTGAAATTCTAAAGCTGGTTAACTCAAAGCAATGTGCCTCTTTAGGATTTTAGGAGTTGGATTAGAACTGCAACTGTTCCCAGGTTGCAGAGACAATCCAAAGAGAGTGAAATAAAATGAATATCTAACTAGATCATCAACTGGTCTTATCTCTCTGCCATGGTGAACAGTGACTACTAACTCAATTATTTATTTACTAAATTCATTTCCTATCTCATTTTCCCTCTCTAGCTTCTGCAATTAGAGAACTGCTAAACAAAGGCTTCAGAACCCCTCAGCCATAAAAAAATGCATGAAATGGCTTGAGAGCGCCGGTCGCCAGCCACATACATCGAGGATGGCGGGTTCGAATCCAGCCCAAGCCCACCAAACAACAATGACAACTACAACCAAAACATAGCTGGGCATTGTGGGGGGCGCCTGTTGTCCCAGCTACTTGGGAGGCTGAGGCAAGAGAATGGCTTAAGCCCAAGAGTTGGAGGTTGCTGTGAGCTGTGATGTCACAGTACTCTACCGAGGGCGACAGCTTCAGACAGCTTCAGACTCTCTCAAAACAACAACAACCACAACAACAAAAAAGGCATGAAATAAGTCTACAACTGTCATTACCACTTAACCTCTAATATTATTAATTCAACTCCCACCCCCAAACATTCCCCTCTCCCTCTCTTTCACACCCCAAAGCTCCTTTCTAGTCTTTCTCCTCTTCCCCAAGCAGTTCCAGTGGGGGATTTCCTCTCACACTTAACTTTGGAAGAAGAGTACTTCACCATTGGAAGAGTATTTCACCATTAAAAACAAAATGAAAGTAACCAGGCAAGGTGGCTCCCGCCTGTAATCCTAGCACTCTGGGAAGCCGAGGTGAGAGGACTGCTCGAGACCAGCCTGAGCAAGATCCAATACCCTGTCTCTACTAAAAATAGAAAAAACTAGCAGGGGCGTGGTGGCGCATGCCTATAATTCCAACTACTCTGGAGGCTAAGGCCCAAGAGTTTGAGGTTGCTGTGAGTTTTGACACCAAGACACTACCCAGGACAAAAAAAAGAAAGAAAGAAAGAAAGAAAGAAAAGAAAAAGAATGAAAATTCAAACAGTTAATTGATAATTTCTCCATTTAATAGGTTTCTTCCTATTTTATTTTTTTATACCTAAGACTGATTAGAACAGCGGTTCTCAATCTGTGAGTCGCAACCCCTTTGGGGATCGAACAACCCTTTCCCAGGGGTTGCCTAAGACCATCCTGCCTATCAGATATTTACATTACAATTTATAACAGTAGCAATATTACAGTTATGAAGTAGCAACGAAAATAATTTTATGGTTGGGAGTCACCACAATATGAGGAACTGTATTAAAGGATCGCAGCATTAGGAAGGTTGAGAACCACTGGATTAGAACAAATGACCAAATAGCAAAAGAACGCTAATAGGAATTAGGCAAAATACCTATCATGTTTTCATGTTAACTTTTTCGTGAAAAAGGTTGCTTGTAGTCATGATTTTAAACTGCATTTATAAAATTTATCTTTCCTGCTAGGAATAGTAGCCCTGGTTCTTAAGATAGGCTTATGTATTTACCCAGAATTCACAGTGTGGCCCAAATAGTCTGCCTAGGTGTTAACCTCCCAAACAGGCCACTAAACTTTATTACTGGAGTATTTCCATTTTAAGCCTAACCAAAAATGTAGAGTAACAGGTTGCCTCTCTGTTGAAGAAGTATCTAAAATAAACAGATCAGTGTGGGAACTATCACAAGAGGGGCTCTGCCTAGTTCTTAAAATCACAGTTTTAGGATTTAGGCACATAATGCTTGTGTGAAGAGAAGGCACAGTTTAAAACTATCTGTTAAAAAGAAATATGGGGGGGGTGCCTATGGCTCAAAAGGGTAGGGTGCCGGCCCCATATGCTGGAGGTGGCGGGTTCAAGCCCAGCCCCAGCCAAAAAAACTGCAAAAAAAAAAAAAAAGAAAAGAAAGAAAGAAATACAGGCTTGGGCACCGGGAACACAGTGGTTATGGCCCCAGCCACATACACTGAGGCTGGGAGGTTCGGACTCAGCCTGGGCCAGCTAAACAATGACAACTCCAACAAAAAATAGCCAGGCATCTGAGGCAGGTGCCTATAGTCCCAACTACTTGGGAGGCTGAAGCAAGAGATTTGCTTAAGCCCAAGAGTTTGAGGTTGCTGTGAGCTAGGACCCCATAGCACTCTACTGAGAGCAACATAGTGAAACTGTCTCAAAAAAATAAATAAAAACAAAAGAAATACAGAAACAGTGTAAAACAAGTGCTACAGCAAAAGTTCACCATGAGATTCCCTGAAAACAATAAAGTCTCGGACTCAGAACTGGATTAACAAATTCAATCAATGGTACTTGGTTTTTCACACAAAAGTTTTGATGATGACAGCGTGTCTTCCCAGCCTAGTGACAGTATTTCCGAAGTTCTAGTTAAAGTAACAAAAATATGACCTAATTCTTAAAGGTCAAAATGTCTGGGCTACTGGTTTGTGCAAGCAGGCCAAAATCCTTTCCAGCCTCTTAATTCTGCCACGACGTGAGTCACAATGACAGAGAGCTCTCCTGGCATTTCTCACAGGGCCTGAATCCCATCTGGATCGAAGTTCATTTTGTAAATTGCAGAATTACACTCTTAGGTCAAGTTTAAAACCTGTTTTGGAATCTTCACCTTTCTGGGTGTGTTAAAGATTACTTGAAGAACAGCCTCTCCACCTTCGATATCTACTTTATTTCTACAATGCTGTTTCTTTAGTGTCACGCTCTCCCCACGGAAAATGAAGTCTTTCTGCTAAACTAACCAACATTTCCAGTTCTTATTTCTTATCTGACAAATCAAATTAACACACAGGAGCAATAAAAAGCAGTGTGCTGAAAACAAGTGCAATCTACAACATCGCCATTTAAAGGACTGGCAGGTAAACAGGCGATGCTAAACTCAAGAGCAGGCCCCAGGGTTCACACGTCCCAGCCTCACGCCTGGCCGTCCCTCGGCTCCACCGCACAGGAATGCGCTCGCCCCGAAACCCACCTCTGCAACTCCTCCTCTTGGATCCTCTCCTCGTCCCACACGAAGACGCCGGCGAGCGCCGCCATCAAGACAGAGGCATGGCCAGGGCGGCCGTGCAGCCGGCGCCAAAGGCGGCCGAGGAGGACGCGGCGCGAGCTTTCCGAGTAGAGGCGGCCGTAGAGCTGCGCGATCTGCTGTGCGCGCCGCACGCGCAGGCCCGTCACGAAGCGGCACTGATTGGCCAGCACGGCCAGTAGGCCCCCGCCCCGTGCCCCCGCCAGCCAGGCGACCAGGGAGGCAGGCGGCCTCCGCGGGAACATGCTGTCCCGTGCGAGCTTCTGGAACCAAATGAGCCTGTCCAGTAGGATGCAGGTGGCCGGCCGCAGCGTCCCCCTAACTGGTTGGCCACTTAGCCGTCTCACAGTCCTGCAGCCAGAAGCCGCCCCTCATCTCTCTCTGCAGCAAACGCCGAGAAAGAATCCCTTCTGGGGAGAGTCCGTCATGGCAGCAGCCGCGGGGACCGCCCCGCGACCGCTGCACGAGGCGTTCCTGGAATCGGGCCACAGACCTGCCGGACCGTTGCCACCCCCTTGCTCCTCGGCTTCCCCTGGCCCGCGCCGGGGACGGTGGCGCAGAGAGCTCGGAAAGCGACGAAGTAGATAGCTCCGGTCGAGCAGCAAGAAAGCTCCCGCGCGTTCTGCGTCCGCCACACACGCCGCCCGTCCGCAACCTACCGGGTCTCTGCCACTCGTGTCCTGATTGGGTGTAACCCGGACTTCTGCGTGCTCATTGGCGCCGCCAAGTGCTCATCACTGCTCTCTCCCGCCCCTTCGCTCAGCGTGCCGGGGCAGCCTACTAGCAAGGTAGGTGGCACCGAGGCTAGAGCAGTCAAGGGCGCCTGGGAGAGTGACCTGTGGACCCCATTGCTGCTGCCGCCATCTTCGGGCCGTCTCGACCCCACACCACGGAGAAGCGTGGCCAGGTGCCTGTTAGAATCCTGCGTGGTGTTCAGTTCCAAAAGGCGCGGGAATGTCTCCCCATTCTCTTATTAAGAGTCCAGAGGGGTGGGTGTGGTCTTCGCACACCCAGAGTGAAAAGTAGTATAAAATTCTCTTATTAGAAGGCAGGGTGAGCGTGCCTCTGGGGGTATCCCCAGCTTGAGGTGGGGGGCGGTGAGGACACCTCTGGTGAATCGAGCCCTGCACCTGGCCCTATTCATCCCATTTTTGACTAAGACAATCTTCTGACTTCCAGATTTTATTCCATCTCCTGTGGCACAAGGAACAAAGGGCACTACCCTGCCCCTCCCAACCACTGGCCTGATGTAGGGATGTAGATTTTAGTTGTTAAAAAGAATAAGAGTACTCCGGCGCGGTGCCTCACGCCTGTAATCCCAGCACTGTGGGAGGCTGAGGAGGGAGAATTGCTTGAGCTCAGGAGTTCGAGACTCGCCTGAGCGAGAATGAGACCCTGACTCATGAGAAAATGGAAAAACCCAACCGGC